GGCCGAGCCCGACGCGCCCGTCCTCCCGCGACCCCACCGCGTGCTCGGCGTCCCGGCTGCGGAGCATCCGGCTGCCCGCATGGACGCGGTGCTGAAGCGGAGCCGCTCTGAGGAGCCGACCGAGCTACCGCCGCCCGCCGGGGACGTGGAGGAGGCGGAGGCCGAGGCGGAGGAGGACGGGATGGAGCAGGGGCTGGAGGAGGAGGAAGAGGTGGACCCCCGCATCCAGGTAGGACGCGCGGGAGGCACCGCATCCGTGCCCTCCGGGGCGGCGCTACGGGGACACCCGCCTTGCAGCCCCACACCCCGTGTCCGCGGTCTCGGGGGTGGAGGCCGTTTAGGATGAGGCGCGGAGGCGAGTCGGGGTACCCCACTTCACATCTCCGCGCGGGGGGCTGCGGCGCCCCTCTGACAATTGCGGGCAGACCCGCACACCCTCGGCGCATCCCGGGGCCCCGCCGCCTGCCCAGCGGTTTCGGCGGGTTGCAACAAAGGGAAAAGGGGCGGGGGTCCGGGCGGAATGGGGGTACCTCGGCACCGCGCAGCCTCCCGGCGTGGGCGCGGGCCCCGGGGTGCAGGGGAGCCTGGCGGCGTGGTCTGGCCCCGCGCCCCGCAGGCTGAGCCCTCACCTGGCTCCGGCGTGCACACCCGCAAGGTCGAGGCCACTCCGGGCACTACGTGGCGCCTGGCCTGAAACTGTTTAAAACCCTGATTTTCCTTGTTTTGAGGTCGGGTGTGCACGAAGCCGGGAACAGCTGATGCGCAGAGCCGACGCGCGGAGGCGGCGAAGGGAATGGCCTGGCTTTCTGTGCCTCCATTTCCAGCACAGATGATTAAAAAACAATTTTCCAGCCAAGATCTAGGAGTGACAGCTTAACCTCTTCACCCTTCTCAGCACAAAGCACAGCAAATTCCTTTCCGTGGCCCGTTTCTCTCCCCTTTCCGTAAATCATTTTTTAAAAACCATGCTCTGTAATTTCTGGCGTCGTAATTGGTTTTCAGTGCACCGATCAATTAAAAGCTTGCTTAACTCAGTAGTCATGGTTTAAATGAATTGCTTTGTCAGATTAACAAGATAAAGATGAGGTGGGAAAGTCTTTGTATTAGATATTCTGTTAATTCAAATCATTGGTTTGGACTATGAAACCCTCTGTGCCTGGTGTGGAATTGTTAGCAGGATCCTTTGTTCCCGGAGTGAAGATGAGTTAACTTCATGGTGGTTAGTTTGCAGCAAATGTCAGTTTGTTAACGTTTAAAGGAGTGGGATTAAAGCTTGTTAAAAAGCACCCTGGCTAGGTAGGATAAATAAGCAATTAGAAAAAAAAGAAATGCACAAACATTGATGAGTTAATGCTACAGGTCTGTGGTTGGCTTAATTGATTCACTGGGTTTAGAATTTGGCTTGACCTGGCTTATTTTCTTTGCAAAGTTGGTGTTCTAACGCTGGTGTTTTGATTACTTTGGTGTTCTAACAGGTCAGTTTACCTGAAGGCAAATACCGGGAAAAATATTTGCCTGTTCTGGGAAAGACAGATTCCTAGATATGTAAAATAAATAAGGACACCATCAACAGAAATGCTGAAAAGTTTTGTCTTCTAGCCAAGCCTCAACCATTTTCTTTTATCTATTTTTTTTTTTTTTTTTTTTTTTTTTTTTTTTTTTTTCTTGTAGCCCCAGCTACCCTGGAATTCACTACTCACTGTGTAGACCAGGCTGGCCTCGAACTCACAGAAGCTCTGCCTGTCTCTGCCTCCCGAGTGCTGGGATTAAAGGCGTGGCTTCAACCATTTTCTTGAATGAACTTGTTACCCTCTCCTGGTGGTGCATGCTTTTGATCCCAGCACTCAGGTGGCCTAGGCAGGATCTCTGGGAGATCCTGACCAGCCTGGTTTACATAGTTCCAGGGCAACTGGGAGACCCTGTCGCCAAAAACAAAGACACAGATAAAAATCAACTAATTTTCTTCCTAGAAACTGGGCCAGGGTGATTTTTCAGATTACCCACTGAGTTATACTATAAACAAAGGCCCACCATTCAAGTCTCTCTCTTTTTCTTATAGGGAGAACTGGAGAAGTTAAATCAATCCACGGATGATATCAACAGACGGGAGACTGAACTTGAGGTACAAAGAGCTGGGTCCCTCTTCTTGGGTGAAGTGGTGGCAGTCACTTTTGACACCAAACTGGTTAATTTTGTTTTAATGGCTGGAGGGTGTCTGCAGGAGGTCCCTGCTTGTGTGTTGAGCAACAGCATGTGTCTTTCAGAATGAAATACACTGAGGAGTCCAGGCTGTGGGCGGATGCATGTGGATTCATTTTCATGTGGTGTTTTTCATTATGGAAGCTCCGTGGTGCCAAAATAAAGGGCAAGTGGAGTATTACACAGTGTTTAAGCACCTCATTTCAGTGTGTTGGTGGCAAAACTGAGGGGAGAAGGAACCAGAACTCTGTAATGGAGAAAATGAACGTGCTCCATGTCCACTGCCGTACTCCATGGGGCTCCTTCTTCCATTCATGCTTGAAACTGGGTTTCCACAGACTTAAGTCAGATTCTGTGCTTTCCTGTCCTAGTAATTCATCCCTCCTTCCACCTCCCAGCTCATTGTTTGGCTGCTTGTATGGAATATATAATGCCCTTAAATGATAACAGAAAGCAAGCTGTTTAGACTGGGAAGGCTTTCCTGCTGGGAAAAATCTTGGGAGACAAGATCTTGATTTGATTTTAATGTGCATTTTCTAACCTTCCTGTAAACAAGTTAGCGATCTTCACAGCTGCCAATTTTACCGTCCACCTAAATGACCAACCCCCATTCATACTCAGGACCCTGTGAATGATCAAGGCTGAAGGAACTCAGGGAGCTCTTTCTAGAAGCGGTTTCCATAGTAGAAATACCAAGAAAGGTCAACAGAAAGGGCAGAAAACATCTGGCCCCTTAGAGTGAGGTTGTGGGGGATAGGAATAGACTTGACTGGAATTCTTCGGCAGCCTGGCCTTCTGATTGCATGTGGCAGTGTGCCTTAAAATTACCCTGAGCTGGATAAAGGCTTATCTATCACCAACTCAATCTTAGGAATCCATGAGCATTGACCGTCCTTCTCTCTGTAAAGTAAAACCTGTGTTATAATACACATACGCGCACACACGCATACACACACAAACTTTTGATTAAGTGGAGGCTGTGAAGTTGGGCAATTAAAACTTTCAGAATCTCAAATTTCTACTAGGGAGAACTGGAGAAGTTAAATCAATCTATGGATTGTGCATTAAACAAATGAAAACTCTTGCCATTCTTATAGGACATTAACATGAGCCAAGTTTTTACAAGTTTTCAGTCCTGTCAGAGCAGCCCTGAGTTGGGCAGTCCACTATGGAAACTATATAACACTTGGCTATGTAAGCTCATTGAACTATTTTTTTAAAAGTCAGGATTCTTGCCCGGAGTGGTGGCGCACGCCTTTAATCCCAGCACTTGGGAGGCAGAGGCAGGCGGATCTCTGTGAATTCAAGGCCAGCCTGGTCTACATAGTTCCAGGCCAGCTGGGGCTACAGGGAGACCCTGTCTCAAAAAGAGGCCCCCCCCCGAAAAATAAAGGATTCTCATATAGAGTCCAGGCTGACCTCAAAGTTCAATATGTAGTCAAGGTTGGCCCTTGAACTCTTGATCCTTCAGACAGGCCCAACCTAAATTCACTGAAACGAAATAAAGTTCAGTCCTTCAGTCATGGAAGCCACATTTTCAAATGCTTAGTATCCACTGTCGTGCGCAGACCTGTAGACAGTTGCAGTGAGCACTGAGAGCTCTAGAGACCAGGCTCTGCCTTCTCCCCTGCTGATGAGGCTCAGGGTCACATGGTTTAGCGTCATGGCTGAGCCGACGTCCCATCCTAGACCCAAGTATTTTCCAGGTTTTCTCCATCTCTTCTGTGCCTTTATCCCAAACATGAATAAATTTGTCTTTTTCATTTGTTTTAAGGGAAAGAATTTGACTTGTTTATATTTGCAGTGCTGGACTGAAACCCAGGGGCCTCATGTGTGCTTATCAAGCACTTTACTACTGAGCTAACTGGTTGTGAGGTCAGGGGTGAATAGGCATTAAGGGCAGCTGGCCAGGCATGGTGTACATTCCTGTAATTCAGGAGTTCAAGGCTATCCTTGGTGACACTGAGACCCTATCTCAAAAAACAGAAAAGAAAAAGGTCAGGGATAGTCAATGTGCCAAGCAGATGGGGAGAGGTGACAAGGGGAGGGGTCTGGCCTTCTGTGCCTCTATTTCCAAGAGAGTTGACTAAACCCAGTACTGCCTTATGCCTTTTGCTTGCTTAGCCCTGTTGGACACTGTTCTCTGTAATGAGCAGGATAGTTCCATAACCCAGTCTTCATGGCACCTACCTTCTGCGGGGTGAAATTGGTTCATAAGTTAAACTTTTTAACCCTGGTTTCCAAATTCCATTTGTAAATACACTTAGGTATTTGTGTGTCACAGGAAGCCACTGGACAGGTGTTTCCTGTCAGGCTCTGGAGGGCATTCGGAGCCCCGGGTATGTGAGCAGGAGGGTATGTGGCCTGGCTGGGTTGTGTTGCTGGCTGGCCTTCTTGTGGTTTTATAACCAAGACTGACTCAGAAATATACCAGAACCCACAGAAGTAATAAAAAAAAAAAAAAACCAAAAAAAAAAAACCTCCTTAAGCCGGGCGTGGTGGTGCACGCCTGTAGTCCCAGCACTTGGGAGGCAGAGGCAGGCGGATCTTTGTGAGTTCAAGGCCAGCATGGTCTACATAGTGAGCTCCAGGACAGCTGGGGCTACAGGGAGACCCTGCTTCAAAAAGACAAAACAAAACAAAGAAAATAAAACTCCTTATTAGCTACATTATAAATTACAAAAGAAATAACTGAGATTTATTTGTAATGTATTTTGTTTAGCCCAGAGTAGCCAAGATAATCTAAATTCAATATGGAAGCACTATAAAAAATCTTAACTAGGGAGCTAGGATTGTAGCTCAGTGGAAGAGTGCTACCCAGCATGCACAAGGCCCTGGCTTCAGTCTCTAGCACTGGAAAAAAGATTCTACACGTAACACTTGTTTCTGGTGGTGCTGAGGATGGAAAACAGGACTCTGCACATGTTCGGTAAGCACTCTTCCACTGAGCTTCAATCCCAGCTTCTACATTTATTTTTGTACTAACTCTTCAAGAGTTGTGACTGGCCACAGTAGCCCTATGTGGTCTTGGCCTGCAGAGGTCTGATAGATGTTTCCTGTCAAACTCATGATCTAGAGTATTGCTAGAGTCTGGAGTTGAAAACTGCGTGTGCGTGTGTGTGTGTGTGTGTGTGTGTGTGTGTGTGTGTGTGTATGAAGCCCTGGCTTCCAGCTTTGTCTTTTTTTTTTTTTCTTTTTGAGACAGATTCTCCCTGTAGCTCCAGCTGGCCTGGAACTCTCTGTGTAGACCAGGTTGGCCTTGAACTCACAGAGACCTACCTGCCTCTGCCTCCTGAGTCCTGGGATTAAAGTCGTGTGCACCACTTGGCTTGGCTTCCAGCTTTGTGTCAGATACTGTGTTGCCCATTACAGATGCATGATGAACATGACAAAGTCCTTGTCCTCAAAGAGTATCCATTTTGATTGAACTGAGGAATGGGGAGTTGGGTAATAATTGCTGATTGCCTTATACACAGAAGGAAAGTGGCACACTGGAGACCCCTGAGTGGGGAAGTGTGCAGGAGGAGAATATCTGTGTGTGTGCAAAGAGAAAGAGGGAGTAACTGTGTGTGTGGTGGTGGGGGGGTTGTCTAAAGGTGTGTGGCAAAATATGTGTAGCCAGGCATGCCCTCAATTCTAGCACTTGGGAGGAAGAGGCAGGAATATCAGGAGTTCAAGGATACACTCAGTTACATGGTGAGTTTGAGGCCAGCCTAGGCCACCTGAGACTGAATCCAAACTAAAGCAAGAAGGATCACTGTGAGTTCAAGACCAGCCTGGGCTACAGTGTGAGAGCCTGTCTCAAATAAGGAAATGAATACATTTTAAAAAGGTTATGTGCTGGGCATGGTGGTGCACACCATCCTTAATCCCAGCACTCAGGAGGCAGAGGCAGACTGAACTCTATGAGATTGAGGGCAGTCTGGTCTACATAGCAAGTTCCAAGCCAGCTGGGGCTATAGGAAGACCCTGCCCCCCCCCCAAAAAAAAGAAAAACAAAAACAAAAAAGGTTATATATTGATTATTTGATAGACACATAACCAGAGAAAAGGCTCTTAAGAACCTAGCTCTGGGGGCTGGAGAGATGGCTCAGTGGTTAAGAGCACTGACAGCTTTTGCAGAGGACCCGGGTTTGATTCCCAGCACCCACATGGCAGCTACAAACTGCCCTTAACTCCAGTTCCAGGGGAATCGGAAACCTTCTTCTGACCTCCATGGCATTGCACGACACGGATGCACTCGCATGCAGGCAATACACTCATACACATAAAATAAAAATAAAATATTAAAAAAAACCCTAGCTCTGTATTTTCCCTCAGAATAAAGGTTTGGTATTCACTAATTCAGTGGCCCAAACATAATTATTGCTAATAACAAGTGGGTTGAGCATTCAGATGGCTTGTCAGCATGGTGGCTTATGCCTGCAGTCCCAGCACTTGGGAGGCCAGCCCATAATCCCATCACTTGGAGATAGAGGCAGGAAGAGGGCTGGAGAGATGTCTCAGCAGTTGAGAGTACTGACTGCTCTTGCAGGGGACCCAGGTTCGATCCCCAGCACCCACATGGTGGCTACAAACCGTCCTTAACTCCAGTTCCAGGGGAATCCGATGCCCTCTCTGACCTCCGTGGCACTGCACGACATGGGTGCACTCACATACATGCAGACAATATACTCATACACATAAAAATAATAAATATATTAAAAAGACACCTATTCTCTCAGGCCGGGGGGTACAGACCTGTAATCCTAGCTGCTACTCAGGAGGCAGGGAGACAAGTTCAAGCCCTGTCTAGGTTGTAAGTTTGAGGCAAGCCCGAGCAATTCGTTGAGACCTGTGTCTTGCCTCGTATGTAGTAGAAACAAGTATGTATTTCATCTACATTATCAATTTATTAAATTGAACTAACTCATGATCACTTGT